GGGTTTAGGGTTTAGGGTTGTTCATCGCAGATGTTAGGCTTGCTTTTACAGACATGGGTATTCCCATGGGATGCCCTGAGATCTGTTTGTGAACTACTGGTCTTTTTATTGACTACCGACAGCGCTGCCTCTTTCAGAACGAAGGCAGCCACATGAAGTAAGGGACCGGAGAAGCTGATCCGTAACTCATCTGTGGCCCTGAGCTCGGGACGTACAAGCCTTGCCAGGAGCAATGTGGCCTTCAAGCCGGCAGCAACGAGGCTTCGCGTCCTTCAAGTCCTGCCACCAGGTCACACGTACTCAAACTGAACCACCGTCGGTCTTTCATCGACACTGCGCATGCTTGTCGCAGCCTACAGCAACGTTCCTTGGAGGCCTTCACGCAGTCCTGCCACCGGCGGTAACGGACTCGGCTGCTCCAGCGGTTGCAAGTCATCTGAAAGCCCTGTACTCGTTAGCAGACTCTGCTTGCCATTTCGGCTGGGGTTCTCCCGGCTTGAGCGCAGCTTTCAGAGTCATGGGCCCGCCATGCGCCAAACCGAAGGCCCTGAACCCCTTCTTGTAATGTAAGCCTTATAAAGAACCCTAAACCCTAAATACCCAAAGCCCTAAAGTCCGGGCGCCAGGTTCGGAAAGAGTCCTGCCAAGTGCTACGTGGAGCCAAAGATGGCGGCCAGGGAGCATTTCGAGATTCTGCACTCGTGTTGCCCGGTGCCCTTCGCACGTTCCCGAAGCGCAGGAAGAAAGCGAACTGCAAGAGCACCAACTGTGAGCAATAGGTCAACACCAGAACGACTCTCGCAGCTCTTGAGCCGAAGCTCCAGAGGTACGCTACAACACCAACCACTTCAGGGAGAAGAATATGGACATCATGCCGGCCGAGGTCGTCCAGGCCAGAAAGTTTTGGACCCAAGCTGTGGGGGGCCCTCAGAGCTGGGAGATCTATTCTTCATCGCTAGAGACATGGCGCTGCTGCCTTTCTAGATCTGCATCTGCCCCCGTGTGTTTGTCTGCCCGCTGAGATGGGCCATGCCCCTAGCCCCCTTGGCCCCGAGTAAGCGTCGTCACCCTTGTCTTGGGTTTAGGGTTTAGGGTTTAGGTTCCTCGACTCGTCCTCATCGTCCTCTTCCTTGTGCCTCTTGATCCACCGGCCATGCTCATCACGAGTGCCGACCGTCAGCTCCTCCTCGGGAGCAGCAAAGCCTTCGTGCGGGAAACGATGCAAGGTGGGCTGCTGCATGCATCCTGGGATATTATAGTATATGATAGTATATTATATTATGTTATAGTATATTATAGTATATTGGCTTCAAAGGAGGGTTTAGTCCAGCGGTTTGGTTTAGGGTGGACGAGTTTGAGCTGAGCTGATTCTTACCGAGCTGAGCTGTTTTTTTCCGCATTAGGGCTGACATCTTGCCGTGGGTGGCCCTTTTTGACTGCTTGTACGGATCGCTCTGGGGTAAGTTCGCCGGTCTTCACTATGATTTGCAGCATGTTGTGCCGGCCCGTCAGAGTTCGTATAGAAGCTGCTCTTCGGAGTCATGCGGGCGTCTACCCGTGGTATTTTCTCCGCTGTGAATACGAACGCGGATGTGCTTCGTTTTCTTAGCGTCTTAGCATGGACGACTGGTGCCAGTATCATTGCTCGCTTTTAGCTTCGTGCCTCTCTGCCTCAGCGGGCTTCAAGCAGGCTCCTTGAACGAGTCCGCTCCCACAGACAAGTGCTTGCCTCGGGATTGCTGGAGTTGCTAGGATGGCATCGTGACGGCTTGGAAGCGGTGTAATTAGGATAATCAGGAGTTCAGCGTTTGAGGTTCGGGATTTCGGTGTCGGTGACGCGATTTTCGGGCTTTCAGGTTCGATTGAGGCTTGTGCACTTTTTGGATTCGGACGCAGCTTTTGAATTTATGCCTTACGTCCACCTGCAGGAAGAAGGTGGCAGTATGCCGGTCTTGACTAGCCCAGGTTCCAATGTTGCACGTCAGGTTGCAATCGACGGCTCAAGCGGTGCCCTGCTCCGGATATCTCCGGACCAAAGAACTATTTTTTCTTCGACAGCGTTCTTGGGCTGTATCAACATCCTTGTTACCGCTTGCTGCTTCTACTCGTGCTAGACTCTGATCGAACCGTAGTTCATGGTTGATTCGAGTGGTGTTGTTTGTCATGGTGATTATCAACGATGATCATTCTTGCTTGGTTGACGCGGTTATCGCTATTTGCATTGCCATTGTAATTATGAGCTTTATTGTGACTGATTGCCGTTATGACTGGTACCATCGCATGCTATCGCTGCAGTTGTTCGTGGCACTCATTACCATCACCGTCGCCATTGCCATCCTGATGAGCACATCGCTGTCGTTGTTGCTGCCGTTGCCATTGGCTGCTGCTGCTGCGCTGCTGCTGCTGCTGCTGCTGCCGCTGCCGCCGCTGCTGCTGCTGCTGCTGCTGCTGCTGTTTTTTGCTGCTGCTGCTGTTGTTGTTGTTGCGGTGCCTGCTGCTGAAACCACCGCGATGACCATACTACCAGGCCAAAGAAGGGCTTTATCGCTGCACAGCTGCTTCGGTCCGTGTCTGCGCTGTTCACGCTGCCGGAGCCTTGTGTCTTGCGCTGTCGGTGTCACTGAAGGCTGCAGGACATATGATCAGGACCTCACAGAACTAGTATGTCGAGCTGCTTGCATTGCAATAGTCGTACAAGCACTGCGTGTTGACGACCATACCTGCCACAAGGTTCGCAACATTCGACAGAAGAGCAAGACGAGCAACACGAGCAAGAGCAAAAGCATAAGCAAGAAAAGCAGCGACAAGCACAAGAGCAGCAGCAACAGCGGAAGCCATATCCGCGGCAGCCGCAACAATAACCACAACAGCCACTAACAGCAAAGCCACTTTGGTGCTTGTCTTCATGCTTGTCTTGCAAGTGATTTTGTCGGGAGATTGGTTTGCTAAGCGCAGGTGCGAACACCCCTTGCAGGCCTGAGCCCTAAACCCTACGCCGGGTTATGGAAGTGCCCAGGGCCCTGAAGCCGCGAAGCCCCTGAGGTTGCGATCCAGCGAGCCCAAGTGCGCCGCCGAGATTCCTTGAGCTTCGGCGCATTTCGGGGATAGTAGCATGGTTTCGTTGTGTTGAAGGGTTCCGTTAAAGGGTTCTGGGTTTAGGGTTTAGGGTTTCTGTAGAGGGGTTACGTTTACTATTTCTATTGTGAGGGTTGGCCTGGGCTGTTGGGTTCACGGTTGGTGTAGAGGTTCATGCAAGCAGTCTGCAGAAAATCCGAACGAGAACGATGC